TATATATATATATATATATATATATATATCTATATATATTTATTTATTTATATATAATCGTAAAATTATAATCGTAATAATATCTATCATTCTCTGTCGGAAGTTGGAACGTTGGCCAATGTTTGATATATCATTGACGTGACGCCCTTTCTTGTCCTTATTTCTTCATTTTCTTCTGTACGCTCTCTTTACTTGCGCATGAAAAAAAGTTTTGGATGATTTTGAAAGTAAATATTATTTATTAAAGACATTAATTAATTATAGGCAAAATACACCGAGGAACAAATCAACAGAGCCGTTTTCCAACGTCGCAAGTACTCTCGGGATCAGTTTTGCCTATCCGTCCTTCTTGTGTTTTTCAATCTTTCAAACATATCTGTGGATGTGCATCGTACCGGCGTGCGGTCGTGTATCACTACTGCGTGATGCACGTTAAAGAACCCCCCCAGGCTAGCGGTTGTACTGCACTGGCTAAATTTCTCATCTACAGCTGAGACACCCGACGCCCATTGGGGCTGGTCACTAACTTCCGTTTGTATAAACATACACACACCACAATTAATTGTTTAAACATTACCTGTTTCATTTTTCATTCTTAAATCTCAGTTACACGAACTCGCGTTGCAGAAATTCTTCAGAGATAAAGCTTTTAACTACCTAGAAAAACAAATTTACAATTGCTCCTTAAAAAAAAAAAAAAAAGAAAAGCAGTACGGTACGTGTGACAATGTTAGTTAGTAGTCACGCATACATGCGTTCTTCCTTTCGGTTATCCACAATCGCTCCCCCAGCCTCCCCCCCTCCAAAAAAAAAAAACACAAAAAAACACCGCCAAGTTTTTGCCTGAATGTAGCGCTAGCGGTACGGGCATGGTGCCAAAGTTTCAGAGCTTGCCACTGTCAAACTCGGATATTATAACCGAATTTTATCGGTTTTCAATGAAAAAATGGCAGCCGGCGAAGCCTACGAATACAAGGCGACGACTGGCGTCAGGTTTTTCACATTGAAACTTACAGAGAATCTCTTATAACTTCTGACTATGATAACGAAAAGTTCTGAAACTTTGGCATCCGGTTCGGACCGCTAGCGCTACATTCTGATGGAGTCTGAAAAAATTGGTTTGACGGTATGTTTATGCAGCCTAAACTTAGTCCGCCTCAACGGACAACTTGTCTCTCAGCTGTAGATGAGCAATTTAGCCAGTGCAGTACAACCGCTAGCCACGCAGGGTGATAGACGACCGCACGCCGGTACGACGCTCAACCACATCGAAGCGGGCAGGGGTAGAGATCGAACCCAGGATCCATGGGTTCCGCAGCGCGAGCTTTCGCTCCATGTGCCCCGAGCTGGAGTGCGCTAGCCCACTTGGCCACCGATCTCCCTGGACGGAGACTAACCGCCGAATTCAGAAACCTCACTCAAACTACACTCAAACTGAAGGGCCCCTCCACTTCCTCGAGGAAGGCGCGAGGGCCGGCGCTGGCTAATCGCGAGGACGGATCCGCCGTCGCGATTGGCCAGCGCCGGCCCTCGCGCCTTCCTCGAGGAACTGGAGGGGCCCTTCAGTTTGAGTGTAGTTTGAGTGAGGTTTCTGAATTCGGCGGTAAGCGTTCAGCGATGCGTAGTTTATTTTGCAGTAAAAAAAATAATAAAACACTATTTATTTTTCGGTTGCACTTTGTACCCTCCCCCCTACCCCCCTTTTTGTCTTTGTTCGACAATCCTTTCCTTGTTCAGATGAATTCCATTATAGGGCGGGGTCACTTTTTAGGCCAATAACCCCCCCCCCCCCCCCTCCCCCAAGCACTCGGCAGCAGTCGTGTGTTCACATTCCTCTAAAAGTCACTTTTCTTTCCCTGGTTGTTCTCTCTGCCTTCATTGCGAGTGCACTATGCGGATTTGGCGGCTACGGTGGCTACGGTGGCTACGAAGGTCACAGTTTTGTAATCGTAGGCTCCGGGCACGGGTTTGGAGGCATCTTTTAACACGAAGGTTACAGAGGCTTCGGTCTGCACCACAGTTGCTCTACGGCTGATTTTTTTGGATACGGTGGATTCGGAGGTTTCGGTCACGGGGACTTCGGCGGATACGGCAAAACCTCTCACGACGCTCAAAAACAGGTTTTCAATAAATTGGAAGATGTCAACACAAATGTCAAATCTCGATTCTGGTGGATATAATGCCGTGGATATCTTACATACCTTACATTGTGTTCTAAAACAAAAGTGTTTGTATGAAACCCACCCCCTGCAATAATGCCTCACGGCGAAGCAGTTTTTTTTTCTGTAAATAAATAAAAAAAATATATGCACGTGAAAAGCAATATAAGATCCTAATTGGGTTCAAGCAAGAACAGGAATGAAACGGAATTTGGTGGAAGGTATCCAAGAAACTCCGAAAAGGACAGCCGACGTTTCGCTTAGATGTTCAGCCTCTACGGCAGATGTCTTTTTTTTTTTTTTTTTTTTTTTTTTCAGAACACACGTTTTGTGGTATTTTTCTGAGAGGACAAAACATTTTCTGGAAATCCTGGACAAAACAGACTAAAATCTTGATAGTGCTTTTTTTTTTTTTTTTTTTTCAAGCTCGTCCGTTAGTGCATATTACATGGCAAGGCATGCCAACACGACCGGTTTGGTTGGCGACATAAAAAAGAAAAATCACAAACGCAACTTTTCGAAATTAAGCCAATAACACTCATCCCCCAAAAGAAATCAAATCCAGAACCACTCGGTCCGCAGCCCAATTTTCTCCAACTCCGACGCACCAGCTGGGCGACTTTGAACGCGCACCGGATAAAACACTCTACTACGGCCGGTAGTGCGGGGCGTTGATTAAGCATTTTAACCCCATTTATCGCCACCCTTTAATTGATTAATTTATCGATTATTCGGTTCGTTCATTTCGACGCAAAAGTTTTTTTTTTATGTCTTTTTTTTTTTTTTTGCATCTGCTGAATATGTGAAAAAGGCGCCGTATAGAAACGTTCGATGATGAATCAACCTCGATGTATATTTGAGAACAGTTAAAAGGAAATGCATTCGCACTAACAGATTGTTACTTCACAGCTGCATGCGAGAAAGTAATTCGTTGATATTCTGCAACAGGAGTTACTTCCTTTGAGTGTTCGCAGTAGTCTCCACGGCGCCAAACTAACATTCACACGGCGTTGAAGTGACTGGGGTGTGTCTAACCATTTCGACTTGTTTCGAGTTATAAATCTCGCTCTTGCTGTTTACTTTGAATTGAAGTTTTACCTAACATTTGCCTTTCATGTAGACTAGACACACCCGTCCAGGCCTGAGTGGTGAAAGTGTTTAATTTGTACCTACTTTTGTTCGTCACAGTTTTACCGACTACACGGTTAACAAATTAGGTGCGATTAAAACATTAATCGATTAATCGGTAAGTTAATCGATCAATTGCCCAGCACCATACTACCAGAGTTACATGAGTATTCCTTGCAGTACAGGTGATGTTAAAGAAGAGGCTATGGAAACGAGTAAATACTACGTTCTTCTTCACTCCGCGAAACAACACTTTAGTGTCTTCTAAACAAATGTAAACAATCGCTCTTCAATAATGCATTCAATGCGTTATAGAATTTTAGTGATAAAGGTTAACTGACAATTGTTATCTTCAATATGGTGGATGGCAAAAGGGCGACTACGGCTGTTAATCTAGGCCCGTCACCTTTTCTAACCTAGAAGCTTTAGTCATATTTAGACAAATAAACCGTAATCTAAATTGCGGCCTCATTTTAGATGTGGAAAATCGGTGTCCGAAATGAGGGGCCATAAAACTGGAATTTTAAAGTTGACGAGTGTCAGATTTATGAGCGCATATAAAGTAATGAACATGTTAGTATGCACTGCCTCTCGTATGTAGTGTTACAATATTGGCATACTTTAAGTGCCATATAAAGTAGCGGCAAAATACCCCCGTGGTAGCGCACATTGGGAAGTCTGTCATTTGCATTCGTGACCGATGTCTTTGGGTAGCGTCTAATTCTCAACGAACAAAAAAATATTCGAGAAATACTGGGCAAATAATTCTTAACCATACCAATTTATGTCGAATTAGGTGTCTACATGCTTGGTGGGCAAATGAAATGTTAATACAGAAAGAACACGCTGGGGTAAAAGGATAAGTGATCGGTCCGTTTGAAATATGAAGCTTCATAATTTAGGGCTTCATAGTTCTTGCACAACTAAAAAAAAGAAAATGCTTTCAGAGAATAGCGATTGTTGCTCAAGAGCAGCAAGAACATTACAAGCGTAGATTAGCGAGGTACAAAATAATAGGACAATTATACTGTGGCCATAGGCGAGAGTAATTTTTGAGCCGATAGGGACATTTAGAGCCGCGTAGTAGGTATATATATATACACACACATATATATATATATATATATATATATATATATATATATATATATATATATATATATATATATATATATATATATATATATATATATATCACGAGTATAATAACAAAAAATATTATGGGTCCTACAAGGTTCCGAGGTTTTACAAGAACCTCAGAACTCATGTTTCTTTTGCAAGAATGTTCGGGTAATGATTTAATGACACCATATGAAGCGGGCACTTCATTAAGAGGAGGATCAATGTTCTCGTTTGCTAAGGTGTCTTTTACCAACCAAGAAGTTGTAAGCGGAGAAAACGTCTTGACCCGAATGGCCGAAAATTACGGGCCCTTTTTTTCTTTTTTGGAACGCTGTTCACGTATTTTAGTCACGATGGAATGCCCACAATTGCTCTTCTGGAGGCTCAGAAATAACGACTTTGCGCAAACCCTTCATTATATCTCCATGAGTCAGCAAGTCGAAAGTACGTCACATTGACGCTTTCTGTTTATGCTAGATGGCGCAATTTCTTTAGCGAATATAAAATCCGAGAAGAACACCGGGTTGTACAGGGACAACGAAGTGCACTTTTAAGAAATACGGCCGATCTGGAGCTGAATACACAAGTACAATGAAGACAACGGTATGTAAACTTTACGCAGCGCGTTACTTTCGCTTACAAATACGCCTGTATGCTCCATGTGCATTTCTTGTGCCCAGTCGCCAATTTACTTTCTTGATTTAAAGAAACTGACTGACATATCTATATGTTTACTCTGATTTCACAATTCCGGCCACCCCATACCAAATGTTTTCAATTTAGTTTGTGTTATATTTCTTAACAAGAGACTAAAACAATTAATCTGAGCCGCATTTGTTTATGATATCCTCATTCTAAGTTCTAATTAAAAGTATATTTCGCGGTAGAGAATTATAGGACTTGTCTCGAGATGTTTGTTCCGCTGAATTACTAACGGTCTGCGTAAGCATTTTTATAATATGCCTTAATTTGGCTGACTCAGGCGTTTCTAGAGAATCGTCATTGAGAAACGTCGCACTGAGAGGGACTGGAACTTCCTAAATGAGTGGTTAATTGATGACTTTATGATGAAGGATAAGTGATCAATAAAGCCCCCACCATTGTAAGGCATTGTGGTTCAGCGATAGTTGCACTAGATTTCCTTTTTTCTGGCGGCAGGACCATGCGATCGGGCTGACACCTAAACGAGCAGCTCTAGTAACCCTGGGTATGGCACACCGGTTGGTGTATGTTATACAGTTTAATTTATAAATATGCCACATATTTTTCGGTGTTTGTTTATAAGGAAAATCGGCGAATGGATTTCGGTGTTTATATGTTTTTTTCAAATATCGCTGTATTTTTTGATTTGCATCGGACGGAAGCTAAAAATGCTGGTTATCGGGGAAGCAATCTCACGAAAAGCTAAGAGTCCACATCTATAGGAGCAGCCCTAGCTGAAACATAAATTTCCCAAAATCGGTGATTTTGCGGTTTTAGCCGATTTTGCCTTTTTGACACGGATGGATGTTTATCGGTGTTTTTTGGTTAAAAGTTAAAACCGAACAGTCGGTTTACTAAAAATAATATTAGGTGTTACTTTATATGAAAGCTACGTATGACCACGCCATTTTTTTGTGGTACTCTTCGCTTTATTAAAATTTTCTTAAATAATTACTGGCATGTGCGGCTGCTTAACGTTATTTTCACTGTTTTTTAGATAAGACGAAAGCAGCACTCTGTCAGAGGCACCTATCGTCATCCACGCCCAGCGATGTGACGTTTTATTTAAAAGACTTTCCCAAACGTTTTTTTTTTCATTTTTTTTCTTCCAAATGATTTCTTTTTTTAAGTTTTCAAAGTACCACGGTGATGTTTATTATTTATTTATTTATTTATCAATACTGTAGGTCATTGAAGACCCATACAGAAGTGGACATTAGTACAAACAAGAAGCACTACAGCGGTATAAGACATTCGATAAAAAAAAAGACACAAAAAGAAAAACGTATAGGCGGAATGTTATGCTAGAGCATAGAAGTGAGAGTCTCGGCAAAAGACTGCGCTGATGTACTATTTACGATTTCTTCTGGTAACTTATTCCAATCATCAATAACGCGGGGGAAAAAGGAATATTTAAACGTGTTGTTTTGGGCTGAATACGGCCTGATCGTCTTGTTATGGTTGGTTCGCTTTGAGTGCACAAAGGGGGCCTTGATGTATTTTTCTTGTTCTATATTTATTTGTTGTTGGTACAGTGCGTACAAAAACTTTAGGCTAGCAATTTTTCTTCGATCTTTTAGGGTGTCCAACTTTGCGTTCGCAAGCATAGCGGTAACGCTAGCCCTCCATGAGTAATTAGAATAGATGAACCTTACTGCGATCCTTTGAACTTTTTCCAGCTTATTGTCAAGGTAATCCTGATACGGACTCCAGATAATACTGGCATATTCCAAAACTGGTCTGACCAGTGCCTTGTATGCTGACAGTTTAGTTGCAGACGTAGAGTTTTTTTAATTTTCTTCTCAAGAAGCCCAACTTCTTAAATGCATTACTGCATACGTTTGTGACATGTGTCTCCCACTTAAGGTTACTGGATATTGTAACTCCCAGGTACTTTATTTCATTTACTTTATTAATAGTTTTATTATCTAACATATATGAGAAGTCTAACGGGTTTTTCTTGTTAGTGATAGTGATAACAGCAGTTTTGTCGTGATTGATTTTCATACCCCATCTCTTACACCAAAGGCTTATGTTTTGCAATGATTTGTTAAGAATTATCTGACTCTCAGGTCCAGCTATGGTTGTATATATGACGCAATCGTCGGCGAAGAGTCTCACTTTCACAGTTGGATCAACACAAGCCGGCAAATCATTTACATAAATCAAAAATAGCAATGGGCCAAGCACTGACCCCTGTGGCACTCCGAAAAACACATCCAGCATCCCAGAGGTACTACCGTTCAGTGTAACATACTGTTTGCGTTTGACAAGGTAACCATAAATCCAGGAAATCAAAGCATGACTAATTCCAACTGACTGCAACTTACTTATTAATTTCTGATGGGGCACACGGTCAAAGGCTTTTGATAGGTCTATAAAAATGGCATCTGGGCCCGTTTGCTCGAACCATTAACCGCGGCTAAAGTTAGCCGCAGTACCTAGGAGAGGGATTTTGAGATCACGTGACTGGGGCTCGGTAGGGATGCGGGGAAACATGGGGGTGCCCCAGTGAGTGAGCGCCGCTCGCTTTGGAAATAATATGTCGTTGTGGTTGCAATATCGGGCGCGTTAGTCAGCAATGAATGGTGCAGGAGGCCTTTGCTTTGCCTTACCTCACTTACACCGCAAAGCATGGGCAATGACATCGCCGCATTTTTTAGATAGTGTTTCGATTCTGGGCACTCCTAAGCCTAAATGAACGCGATAATTGTCGGCATAGCAACGTCTTTGGAAAGCGGATTGTTGATAGCAAACAAAAGCAGACGGCGTCCCAACAGACCTTTATTTCTAAATTATCCAAGCACCGAGGTGCATGCCACGACTGTAGTTGCACGCATCGCACGTGCTGGCGTCTGCAGTAGTAACCGTTCTAAAGCAAAACGTATAAAACAAATTTTGCCTTGCACGCGCGTTCGTTAAAGCCTTATTATGATTTTTTACTTCAAATCTTTTATAAGAGGAAGGCCAGCGCGCGTGAACCGTAGAATCAAACTTCCAGCCTTCTCCTCGCGATGCTTGGATAATTTAGAAAAAAGTATGTTGGGACGCCGTCTGCTTTTGTGTGCTATCAAGAATCCGCTTTCCGAAGACGTTGTCATGCCGACAATTATCGCGTTCATTTAGGCTTAGGAGTGCCAAGAATCGAAACACTATCTAAAGAATTCGGTGATGTCATTTCCCATGCTTTGCGGTTTAAGTGAGGTAAGGCAAAGCGAAAGCCTCCTGCACCATTTCTTGCTGACTAACGCGCCCGATATTGCAGCTACAACGACATATTAGTTCCAAAGCGAGCGGCGCTCACTCACTGGGGCACCGCCATGTTTCCCCGCATCCCTACCGAGCCAGTCACGTGATCTCAAAATCCCTCTCCTAGGTACTGCGGCTAACTTTAGCCGCGGTTAGTGGTTCGAGCAAACGGGCCCAGTTTGTTGTCTATCGTTAATAGTAAGTGCAAAATCGTGGGTAACCTCTAGGAGTTGCGTTACCGTAGACAATCTTGCCCGGAACCCGTGTTGATGTGAATAAAGAACATTGTTTTCTTCTATGTGTTTAGTTATCGCCTTGCATATTATGTGTTCAATTAACTTGCATGTCGTACTTGTCAGTGAAATGGGTCTGTAGTTAGTGATTAAGTGTTTATTTCCTGTCTTGTGAATCGGGACAATCTTAGCACAACGCCAATCATCCGGTAGCCGTGAGGATCGCAGTGACTCAACAAAAATTAGACATAGATAATGCGAGAGCCACTCTGCATATCTTCTTAAAATTGTGCCAGAGATTCCATCAGGTCCAGCAGACTTTTTTACGTTTAGATTCAGTAGTAACGATAGGATTCCGGGCTGAGTAATCTCCAAGTTTGGCATTACAGGCACTTCAATATTTTCTGGTTCACATTCATCTTCGAGGGCTCTAGAAAATACAGACTGAAAAAAATAATTGAAGCCTGAAGATATGGTTTCTGGGTCAACTGTGATAGCGCCATCAATTTCGAACTGTGAAACATGGCTTTCTCGTCTCGACAGATATCGCCAAAACTTTTGGGGGTCATGTATGAGAAAATTTGGTAGGGTAATATTGAAGTATGTACCTTGCCCTAGCCGAGTTGATTTCTAATGTCAATTCTCGTGATAGTTCTTGTACCTCGAGCTTGTTTCTACGTCTCCGCTTCAGACGGCGTTTCATGTGTATAATATTTCGCGTTATCCACGGGTTCATGCGGTTTATCGTTTTCTTTCTGTTAAGAACGAAGTTCGTTTCACAGTATGTTATTATATCTTTAAACTTGCACCACATTTCATCAACGTCGCACATATGGCTGAATTGGTCGAATTGGGTTTCTAGATATTCAAGGATACATACATCATTGGCCATCGCATAATTTTTTACCGTAACAGTAAACCGCTTGTTTGGTTTAGTATTACACAATGGATAGGTACAGACTAGTAATTTGTGATCGGAAATTCCATCTTCGACCGTAACCTTGAACTCTTTTAGGTAATTGCTCACAAACAGCAGATCTAGAGTAGAACTCGCTGTTCCGGATATGCGGGTTGCTTCCAGCACCAATTGGTCTAGACAAAAGCTGAGTGCGCTTTGCAATAGCTGTTCCGAGCTTTCTTCATCTATCTTATCATTTGTTAACGTGGTCCAGTTGATGCCGGGTAAGTTAAAATCACCTGTCAATATCAGTTTAGTTCTATCGTTAACTTCTGCACAAAGGTACTCATGTAAATCAATTAAGTACTGAAGAAGAGCCTTAGGCTGTCTATAAATTCCGCCAACCAAAATGCTCGTTCCAAACATATTTACTTTGCACCAGATGCTCTCGTGATTTGGTATTCCATCAAGTTGTACAAAGGATATTCCATTTTTTATTACCATTGCCACACTGTTCTACTACACATTGGCCTCATCGACGGGTGCTAGGGTTTAAAGGTGCCTCGCGATAATTTTTAAGGTGTCGCGACCCTTATAAACATTTCATTATCGTGAATGGAATGAAGAAATATTTTAAATGAACAGGACTATATTTACACCTTTTAACACATTTCTTGAGCGTACTGCCTAACGCATCCCGGGATTTCAGCAAGGTTTCTCGTTGATGCCGTATAATGTTTATTTGTTTTTCCTCCTTGCAGCTCTCGTTTATTTTCTTCTGCCTGCTCATCTCCGGAGCACTTGCTATTCACCTTCTCCACCACAAAAAATACGGCCATGGATTCGGTGGTGGCTATGGTGGTCACGGCGGAGGGTACGGCGGTGGGTACGGCGGTGGATACGGCGGTGGATACAGTGGATACGGTGGATACGGTGGCGGATATGGTGGTGGCTACAAGTACAAGCAAATCTATGGAGGGTTCAACCGCGGCTATGGCAGCTACGGCGGGGGATTCTACGGATAACGAAGCAGTAAAGCACCAAGTTAAAGAACGTACGATGTTATAAATGATTGCCCAATAAATTACTCAGACCATTCACATTCATCTTCACTGCGTCACTAGGCTACGGGATGAAAACAATCTGGCATCGCGCGTTAGATTGCCACTGTAAGCCGTTATCACACCATCTGTTTGGCCCGGGGATTCTTGACGCCACTCTTTGATAAACCACTCGTGTAACGCTGTGTTTAAACTCTTTATGGACTTAAGGCAAGATCCCGAAGACACTACACTCCAGTTGTCACAACACAATGGGGACTTCTGTGGCATGTGAATGTCCTTTGTTTTGTAGAACAATTAAATGACTTCAGCAAAAACGAACACTGGCAAATTGTACCCCTTCTTCGCTTTAAATTGACTCAGTTTGCCTGTTCTTGCATTGCGCTACCGCGATGTCCATGATGTTTAGGGACACCCTTAAAAGTATAGTCAGGACATTAATATTGTTATATAAGTTTTAATTAAGGGTTTCATATTGAGGGGCAGGTATCACAATATTGTAGAGGTGAAATAATAAAGTAGTTTTAAGTATTGACCGCTTCATTCAACCTTGCCTACTTTTTTTAGTTTGTCTTATTCGGACAAAAATGTCAGGCAGGCCAGGACGGCGTGGTGACACAAAGGAGGAAGGCGGCATGCATAAGCTGAAAGTTTTCAATCTCTCGGGGGAGGGTGGAAGGGGGGGGGGGGGGCGGGGGGGCGGGGAGGAGGGGCTTCGACGGATTCGCTTTACCCTCTCTCTCTCTCTCTTTATATATATTTCCAGTTCGTGACGCAGTGGTGTCTCCGGCAGGGACATTCTAAAGAAGTCGTGTGTATGTGCACATATATCGTACAAATAAGAAATAACACTACACAGAGAGCTGGTCAAAGATTGAGTCCGCCGAAGCCAGTGGCCGGGATGGTCCAATCGGTTAAAAAGTCGCTCGCCTAGGCGAAGATTGCGGGTTCGATGTCCGCTCCTGGCTCAATTTTTCGCCAACTCTCTTTCCATTTCCCTAACTTTAATGTATTAAATTCAATAATCTCCCCTCTTCGTTTATAAATATATATATAAAGAGAAACAAATTTTGAGCAAAACACCAAGGGAAGTTTAATTCGACGGTTTGACCTGAGACATGTCTTCGTCAGTAAAATAAAAACAATGGGCTAACAAAAATTAGAGAAAGGTTTGTACTGTAAAAACAAATTTCAGATATGTTAATCTTAAAACGAAATGCACAGCTGAATGGTGTCCCCATTAGACCCTGCGTAATGGGGACATTATATACAGGATCTAATGTCCCCATCATACCAAATTAATATAACTGAATGCGGGTCGTGTATAACTTGTTTCCGAAAGCATGCCTCGCACAATATTACCGTGCTACTGCTGGTTAAATATTTTTAACCACTGCGAAATATGACTTCCCTTTACGGGAAACTGTCTCGGTATAACGGTAGAGCCTTTCAAAACTAGAAAAACGCGGACTCTGTGAAAAGCAATCAAACATTTCATCATATGTGGCAAGAAATTTAAAGACGCACTACCAATTTACAGATGGGATTTCGTCGAGAAAATGATTATTAAAAAAAAATAATTTTGCTGTGCAAAATTGCAATGAGAAGTCAAGCTTTTGATACAGGAGCAGCCGAATAAATATACGAGTGTGCTTAATTTAGTTTAGTTATCTTGTCAGTTTTGACCGCAAACATGACTCTATGCATATTACTGCGTCCTAGTACTAAAGTAGCACTTACTATTGTTTTGTCTATGATACGGCTGGAGGAGTACTCACATGCGAGGTTCCAACTTACTCCTTCCTGTCTCGAATGTCGAAGTTGAAGGGGACGAAGACGTTTAGGGTATTGAAGACAGAACGGCAGAAAAAGAAAGAGGAAAGGGTTGTTTGATCAAACCAAAAATAAAAAGAACCCGAGGCTTGATGCTAGTTTGGCTATCCCATAGCAAAAAGCGAAAAGAAAATACCTTCATCCTTGCCTTTTTCAGCACCCCCTCATAAAGTTGAGACAACACCCAAGTAGAGAGCTACTGTGGAGCCAGTCTGGCGCTCGGAACCCGGTGGCCGGTGGCCTGAGTCCGCGGTCGTCGGTCGCCGAAACTTCTACTTCTCGGTCGTGTCTGGTGGCGCCTTCGAATTTTGCCGCCTGTTGCCCCCATTGAACAACAACACATCGGCGAAAACACGTAGTTGTTATTTTATCTTTTTTGTTGGGATGCTTTTTTTTTCTACAAAAGCTTTTTTTTTTATTCGCCGGGGGAATGCTTTAAAGGGTAACTGCAAAGAAAAAAAAAGTGTTTTTTTTTAAACAGCATAATTGGGACAAGCATGTCACAAAACAAATATTCTCCGAAAAAACAAACTTTTTCTAGCAATATTTACGCCGCAGGACCTAATTTAGTCGGGGTCACAACTTCTCCACATTCAAAACTCCCGCTCTTTCGACGCGCGCGGAGTGGCTGTAATACGTCACTTCGTGACGTATAGCAGCGACTCCGTGACGTAGAATACCAACGTCGTGGCGCGCGATTTAAAACGGACGAAATAGCCGCAAACTAAAATCAGTCTCGCGCAATAAATATTGCTGTAAAAAAATTTGTTCTTGCCAGAAAAATTGTTTCGTGACATGCTTGTCCCAATTACGCTGTTTAAAAATATACTTTTTTTTTTCTTTACAGTTACCCTTTAAAGCGCCTTTCCATGGCTTTAGATACGTCGCAGCTAAGTGAAGCGCAGGTTAAAATGTTTCGGTATGGTGAATGTATGGGTAATGGTGCCTGGAATGCGTCTCCGACTGGTGTGTTTACCGCGCACAAAAAAGTGGTCCCTCCATCTCCACCTGATGACGTCATAGAAGTGTCATGTTGTCGCCGGTTGCGATCCTGGCGGCGTCCCAACAGTTGTGGCACCTGTATGGCAGACGCCTGTCCTGCTGCAGGTCGCTCTCCACTGTGACAGTTCACGGAAGCTACAGCAGCCGAAAGTTGGGACGCCTGGGACATTCTGACGACAGCGACACTCGCGTTCGCTCGCGCTTTTCGCCAGCATTTCAACGGTCAACCGCCAGGATCGCGACAGTCAGCAGCATGACACTCCGACTTCTGTGACGTCATTTGTTGCCACTTCGGGACCACTTTTGATGTATGGGCGGGATAGGACGCTAAACACACCGGTCGGAGACGCGTTCCAGGCACCATAGTATGGGCCTTGCTCCGTACGCCAGAACGCCCACGCGGCTAAACGAGAACTCCCCTGACGAAGGCTGTAGCAGTTTGGCGCCGGAACCGGCCGCGGAGGAGTGGCGATTACTCAGCACGGAATGGTAGATTCACATTTCGGCTTCGAATACAGACCATTAGAAACGAAGTAATACAAATTCCCACTAATTCATCCCTTTGTAGGTGCACCCGCAAACGCTGCACTGTGATGGCCACCGCCCGGCAGGGTGCTTGTTGCCGGAAGTGTCCCGCCGCCGTAGTGCTACAAAACGACGGGTGTTCCCGTCGTTTCGAAGCACGACGGCGGCGTGGCACTCCCGGCAAAGAATACAGCGAATGCATATTTTCGTGTTTTGTGCATGGATTCCGTTGACCCCGTCGTCTTGTGCGTGGCATGCTCTGGTTGACGCTACTGTTTATGCAAGCGGATATTGAACTTTGTCATTTCCGTCAAGGTGTTAATCGACGATTTCACCTTTTGCGAGCACAGTTCGAGTGACACATTACTCGTATCCAATACGAAAGCTAAATTTAACTGACGTCGTCGACGGAAGGGAAAAAATACAAAAAGAAACTGTGGATGTTCCGGTTACTTTGTTAGGTAATGCAAAGATGCTGCCCATTACGAAAAGTTTCGCCACAACTCATTTATTAATTACCCCATTCATACACTTGGCTTCGTTGCGAGCGTTCGAATGAGAGAGTGTAAGCCCGCTTTTTGTTTGCCAAGATGTCATACCAAAAACTAGAATTTAGCCTTCCTAATCTCGCGTGCTAGTTTTCCTTTAATCCTATCTGGCCTAAGCACCCCTAAAGAAAGAAATTTTTGAAAAGGTTTACGACGTCCCAAGAACTCGTTAAGCTCGTGAAGAACGGCCTCGCCTCAAACACTATCGCCCCCTGCCTCACAAAAGGGCAAGCGGGCGATGAAGAACTTTTTCGAAGGTTGTTCATAGCCTTATCTCTCGGTTGCTCGGAGTAACTGAGCAGCCGAGAGAGAAGCGAGCGGAGCGACAGGGCGATCGCGAGCTCGGGAGTTTGGCGACGTTCGTGAGATGTAACCACGTGACCGCGGACACTTATACCCTATTCACACGGCAGCGTAAAGGTACCTTTAGCACATGTACCCGTAGTAAAGGGAGCTGGAGATCGTGATCGCATGGCGCATAAAGGTCCGTTTCGCTAAGGGAGGTCCTGTGTTAAACGGAGCTCTCCAAGCTCCCTTTACAGCTACAGGGAGTAGCCTCGGACCCACGAACTCAAAATAAAAATCACAGATATATAAATATATATTGTTTAATGCATTATACAAAGTGAATATATCTAAGTATAAAATTATGAAATGATTGTGAACAAAATTGTGATGGAATAATACATTACCGAGGAACACATACTCCAGCTAGCAGGTAGCAGCGGAGGCACGTAGAAGTTAGAACTCCTACGAACCCGAACCCGATGGACCACTGCGAGCTCTTTTTCGAGGTTGTAGAGAAGTCGTCCGACTCTCCCGCCCAGGACCTTCTATCCTCGTCGTCGTCTATTCCTTTCGATTGCGTGACTGGCGTAACCGTGAGACTCCGACGTGGTTCATTTCTACCGGGCACTATTTAACTACATGAATGAGAACTTTGGGGGAAAATAAAGCTGCTAAACAGAAAAAGGTCGCCCACCTCGCAATGGAAACTCGTAAACAGAGATGATTCAGGGCCAGTGTTGTCAGACGTTTTAAAGCAAGACTCATTTA